GTGAAATTTATCGGCTATAGCTGGTACATGCCTAACTGTTACCAGGTCTATTTTTAAAATATCTTTAGAAAGGAGAGATACTTAAAATTCTGGACACATCAACAAGGTTCTTAGTACTCTGAAACATTATCCAGTATTGAAGGACTTTAATTTTTTATTGTATATATTTACTTGTATATGCCATTAGGATAAACATATAACAAAGCTGATCTGTCCGTTTCGTTTACTATGGAAAATAGTTGCAAGAATAATGAGAGGTTATTCAACAAGTAGTCTACATTTATTTTGTTCATTTAAGACAATTTTAAAGTTATTATAAGAGAGAGTATGACTTGTTGCTTTGCAATGTGTCTCGATACCGATCCGACTTAACAAGACTCTCAATTGTCTTAATGATCATCTGCCAATGGTGTTACATTCAGAGCAAAGATTGATTTTTCATAGTTTTTCAAATATCTTTTCTTCTTGATCGCTACATTCTCGGTTACATTTACTCTGAAAACGTTGCCCTTAACTCCCGATAATTATGATATCAAATGTAATTTAGCAATAATCAATGAAATTTCGAGTAAACAAAAGACACTGGTTTTAAAACCCTAAAGTTTATTGACAAATTAAAAGTATACGACAAAAAACAAATGTTGATTTATTAGTAACAAACTTATTTTAAACTGAAAATGAGAAAATCAAATAATAAATCATTGTTCGAGTATTTTTTTATGATGTCAATCGTTTTGGACCATGTAGAAACATAGATGTTTTTCGAACATTATCTATTCCAAGATATAACATCACCACACACTCTAAATCAATACCGGTGCCAGCATGTGGAGGACAAGTGTAGCAAATTGAATCTATATGAGACTTAATTTGTTTTAAATTGATCTTGCGATGTTCAGCACATTCAAACAAAGGTTGAAAACTAAATATCTAAAAAAATTTAAAAAAAAAGAACAATCGGTCGAACAACAAGAAAATTAGCATTTGAAGAGACGCTTTCATGTAGATTATAGTTTTATACTGAACAGTTCTGCTGGAAGATCATTTCGATACCATGTTTCATATAAAATCAAAACAGCATCTTTATATTCTAATCTTAGGCTATAACCAAAAGATAGCACATTATTTATGCGTGTTTTGACATTTCTTTTTCGAACTTACGGTGGATCCAAATATTTAAACGATTCACATAGAAATTATTTTCATATCGTTTCTATTCAAAAGCAAATCTTAAAGATAACTCAAAAAATAGATAACCTACTAAGATGAACTTTGTTCCGGTCCTTTAAATATTTGTGTAAATAAATCTCCAATGGTAAATATTACTTCATGCTAATGATAATTAAATGCCATTTCAATATCGGGATCAATAAATTTTGTTACATACCGATGTGTATATGCATTTTCGACTCGAAATACTGAAGTAAAAAGAAAAAGAAATGACATAGAGAACTATTTGAAATTCTCTGGAGATCAAAATTATTACTAACTCCAATTGTATAATATTTTTCAAAATGAGTAAAAATTGCCATTTGTTTATAAAACTGAGTTGATTGAGCGAGATATACATTCATTTTGAAATACGATACTTGAAATACACTTGCATTATCTTCAACAGCAGCTGAAAAATGAAAACGAAAAATAAATTAAAATTGGAAACCAAGAGAGAAAGCATCTATCAACATAGGAGAAATAATTTTTGATGTATGAATTCCCACAAGGCCTTTTCCATCAAGAGTGTTACAAAAGAGTTTACACACACCAACTTCAATTCGATGGTGTACGCAAATCAATCACACGATGATCTAATCGCCTATCTTGATTCACATAAGCAAATCATTCTATCTGAATTATTAAAAAAGGTATTAAATGAAGTCTGACACCACTATCTTGAGATCACATGGCATCTTTAAGTTGAAATGGTAAACGTACAGATGTGCTAATAATAAATAACTAAAAAGAGAGAGAGCTAATATTCTGATAATACTGAACACTAGCGGTACACAAACGTTTTTCAATTGTAATTCGATGTTTTTCTGTGTACAGGAGCCGATTGGCGGTGGTGTTCGTGAAGCTTTTCCTTCAACATCAGTGATGCTCTCTTTCGGAAGACTGAACAAAGACAAATGGAGACCAAACGTATCTCCAAAGATATTACGAATCATTTACATACATTGTCACAAATTTTACCAGTTGTTTACTAATAGTTTACACTAACTATAGCTATGATATTTCTTATGAAACTTTGCTACTAACGAAGTGTACTTTGTCACTTGTCGTAGGTGTAAGCATAAACTCTACTTTTCCTGTTAGGGTACGCTGGTTTTTTTTCGCAAAAAGTACAAAGTACACGTATACTTTGTACATTGATTCCATGGAATCAATCAGGGGCGTAGCTAGCATCTCAGAGCACGGATGTGGTCTTGCCAAAAACATTTTTCATTCTTTCAAAAAAAATGCTTTTTTGAAGAACGGCAGACACAAAACAGTGACTTTTCTGAAACCAGAGAGGAGGAAACCACTCCTAATATTAAATAAAAACAAACACAAGCAATGGTTGGAATGCTGCAATTTACAGCAGAGATAACGCATTTTTCGAAGGCCGTAATAAAGAAACTATCATAACGCGCCCAACAATAATCAGTTTTAAGAAGATACAATGAAATAAGAAATAAAAGAGGCTCAAACACATCAGACGAAACAGAGTGGTATTAGATATAGTCAATCATACAAAAGTTGGAGAAGTAATTTCGATGACTTTACCACCTGCAGCTAAATCTTTTAGCTGAGGAGCAGAAGTACAATCCATGAGTATGAATTTGTTTTTGTTAGATTGATAGATTCTGCACACAAATATTTTAATTTTATTTAATAATTTTGCAGACAAACTTCTTTGAACGCATCTACTGTTGCGAAACAATGAGCACTACCAAAATTGTTAGATGTGAGAACTTGATAGTCATGACAATTTTGCTGTTTGTCCGCATGAGTTATCACATCCGGTATCCCTCACTATCATCCTGTGTGCCACCGCGCCTACGCTAGCTCAGGCATCTCTCTTGTAAAGTGTTTGTGTTGATTTGTCAAACATGGGATCATTAGTTCAAAAAGGTTTCAAATTTAATATTATCTTTATTATATTTATACTATCCCTATATTATAATATAAGTTTTTACTTTAATTTTACTTGAAAAAGCAAAACTCTTCTCTTCCTAGGACTCATTGGTCTATTGTTTGCACAAATAGTTAAATGTGTTTTAGCCTTCTTGTCAATATGATGGATAACTGGCCGTCCTAAGTAGTATTTCGCATGAGATCAAGAAGTTCTACAACGCATTTAGATGATTAAAAAGCGGCAATTAGCAATATGACATATTCACCGCCATTTTTGTCTGCTTTTGCTAACCAATGAAAAATAGAGCAGGATATTGGGAACAGCGTGATGATATACTGGAAAACGCAGTTCACAATACTATATACAACCCGGCACAGAATATAGTACAGTCGAGCTAAAAGTAAGATCCGTTTATGAACTCGGTTTCGACGTTATTTATAGCAGTCTTGTTTATTTCCTTATGTGTCCTTTATCTGACAAGACAGCGATTAAGAACAATAAAAAAGATGCCTGAAGAGAAGTTTTTGCATTCTCATCGTTTTGAACACCATTTTTCTACTCAAATACTGGTATTCACGTTTGTTGATTTTGCACTGTGATACCTTTCAGTGTAAATATTCTCGCTACAAACAAATGTTCAAGAAACTACTATCTGAAAAAAACAGCCGCGTATCTTTGCCTTGGCAGTTCGCGTTTAATTACTTCTTAGACTTTGTTTTCTTCCAGTCAAGCTTTTATGGAAGCTCTTGATGTGCAAATCTGTTTTGTTAAGGTAAAAGTCTTCGCCGCTCTAATCGTTACAAAAAAGTATGGCTCTTGCTTAAGAAAATACGTTCGTCTCACGAATCTAATTTCATGAGTTCTATTCTATCATTCGTGTGAAAGTCATTTGTGTTTTACTTTTGATCTGTCTTCTCTTTTCTGTGCTAAGTGTCAAAATAGCGATGCTTCGGGTGAATGTACTTGACGTCAAGTATTTGAAAAACCGTCTGGTACAAGCATTGAAGACAGCCCCTGATACCTTTTCACAAGTAATTTTACTTATTTGTAACTTACAGTATTTCTGTGAAACTCCACAAGGTTATCATTCCTTGTGAAGTATTTGAACATGTACCTTGGATATTGCAAAATGTTCAAGTACGTGGTCTCAAATACATTCAATACGAGTACGTTTAATAGTCACTTATTTATTTCGGATCATTCAGATTCAAAGCATAGGATAGAAACGCATTTTAAACCTAAATTCCATTGAATAAAGTAGAAACTCCGCTTCCACTGCTAAGCTGTTATATTCTGTAAGAACTATCAAGTGTCATTTATTTATGCCTTACGATTAGTTTTGTTGTGTGCTGTACAAAGTGAGATAATAGAAGCATCAAGTGTTTACCGATGAGATCATACAAAGAGATTTCCACCGCCTAATTTGACCTTTTTTTACACTCTTTATCGAAATTCTGATGTAAATAAAACAGACTAGAGCATTCTCTCTCTATACCTTTTGGTTTGCCTCTAGTTATTTGTGCATATAATAATGTTCTTCGCCATTAATGAAGTTTAATTTTTCGTTGACACGTAATTTAAAACAAGGTAAATTATTGATAGAGAACACCAACAAGAAATAATTTAACAGTTTCTCATTAGAAAAGATTATAGAGTAAAGTAGACGTAGAAGACAGAGAATAGACGGAACAAATAACATTCCTTGTCTCAGACATATACGTTTGACAAAGTAAAGTACTTTTCTGTTCTAGATGTGATAAAGAAAAAATATATGCACACGATCAAATAATCAAGATAGTTTTTCTGTATTTATTCTTTTAATTCTATCGATTCAGTTGTTTATCATGGGATAGTATTTAATTTTTTTAATCGATGAGCTGCATCGATGTCAAAAAAAGATTTACCGTCTCATACAATCAGCATTGTTGGTTTCAATGGTGTGGGAAAATCATCGTTATGTAAACGATTAATTTATTCGCATTTAGACAATTATAATAATTTGGGTATAACAACACCAGATCGAAAAGAGCTCTTACAAAACCCATGGCTTTATTGGGGAAATGTCAAACATCGGCGTCAAGATGATAAATATGAAGTATTACTTCATTTTATAGAACAAACAGAATTGAACGATGTTGGTAGTAGAGATAATCATGAAACATATATTAAACGAGCCAGTGCTGTCACAATAAAAGTAGATGAAAAATTGACAACAAATAATACTAGCTGTAAGTTCTTTATGATTTTATAAAATGTCTTTTTATTCGAGAACCTGTTCTTTCCATAACGTCTTATTATTCATATTTTCTCTTTTACAAATTTATTCTATATATTCTCTTGTATTGAATATATCTACATCTATTAATTGTTATTTTGGCCTCGTCACTGATTGTTTCCTCTATTTATTTAGTCGTGTCAAACACTGGCGATGATTATTTGTCGTCAAACAGTTTCTTATCCTATCCATTACTGAAGCGTTTTCCTCGTGAATTTAGAGTGAAAAGTCACGTCGACGCTTTCATATGTGTTTATGATCTAAGTGGTGATGATAATTTATGTTCTAGTCAACTACAACAGTCACAATTTGACTTATTTTTGTCATTATTAAATTCATTGCTCAAAACAAAACGTCCACTATTAATTGTTACTACGAAAAATGATATTGTTTATCGACAAAATATACAAGTAGAAGTGTCATCTAAATTTGAACAACGTCTACGAAATTTTTTAGTTAACACTACTACTCTATCAACAACAGATATTCAAACACATCTTCCACCCATTCTTCATACATCCTCTCAGGAAAACATCAATATACAATCAATTTATGGAATACTTGTCAAATTATGTGAACAATCATCAATATCAAATCGCAAATCATCATCGAATACATCTCTTTTGTTTCAAATTCCCTCATATATTGATGATTTAAAACAACAAGAAAAATTACAACAAATACTAATTGAGGATTATCGGCAGTTACTGATACGCCATGTATTAGATTTTAGAGATACAACATGGTTACGATTCTATCAAAAGTGGCATCAACATATTGGAGTTGAACGATTTATAGAAACATTTGGAAAAAAACAAGCAGAAATTGTTTATAATGAACGTATAGAAAATCTAAAACAATCCTATACAAATACTTACAAACAAAAAATAATTGATCAACGTTTAATTAAAATTATTCATCTACTTACAAATGAGAAAAATTTATTATTATCAGCAAGGTAATTTCCTATGGATTCTTTGCTTATATAATATGTCATTGTTCTGTTCGATCAGTAAAAATCTGTCAACAACATACACATTACGTATAGGCGATTAATGATCTTTATTTATCCTTAGTTCTTACAGTTCATTGTACTCTCTACTAACTGTTGAAAGAAGTTTAAGATAGTAATATTTTTTCTGTTGTAGAAACTGGAATTATTTGAAATCACAAATGCAAAAACATCCTCTTTATTCATCGACTGTAATAAAAACGTCATTTACAACATTATCTAATCAGTATTTTGATGATTCAAATTTGTTAAAAATTCCTGAAGAAATATTTAACAGTGAAGAAGCCAAAACCAAATATGACGATTATATTCGTCAACAACAGCTCAATACAAAACGTTTACAATATAGTCAAGAATTTTTTGGTTTATTAGATCTATTTTCAAATGCTGGTCTCATACGTTATGGTCAATCAACCTTAGATAAAGACTGTGTCTATTTTTTGGGACGTGATTGTTATGAGCATTTAAATCTACAAGATCGTCTAGCCGTCTTTGTTCTACATCAAAAACATTTATATAAAGGTTTAAATAAACAATTTATTGAACTTTTATTTGAATCAATCGAAACATTTATTCAAACATTCCATAAAATGAATCAAAATGAAAATTTATCAACAACAAATAATCGTAAAGTGACAACGGTATCAATCGATGATATATTTGAAAATGAAATTATTAATCAAATAAAACATGATTCGAGGTATATTTAGTTCGTTGATTTTTTTCATTTTTTGAACTACTATCGTTTTCTAAAAGCAGTGTCCCTGTTGATTTTTTTGAATAATTTGGGAACGCAATATGCTAGAAATATGCGGTTTTCACCATTCGATAGCCAAGACTTTATACCATCATTCGTTAAGCAAAAACCTGTTTCACAAAAATGTCAAAAACAGTTTTCCAGAGGGTCTTCGAAAAACCAATCCATATCTCAGAAAATTAGCACAGCAATCTATTGATTTCTTTCCATGGATAGATAGTCCAAAGTGTGTTCTACAAAATTGGATCTAAACGAGGGCTCTAGAATCCGTTGTTCAGGCGGAATAACGATACTGTTGGGATCATCAGGATCGACCTTTCTTATGGTCTGATAATATCGAAAAAAACATGATTCATAGATAATTGATGCTTCTGATCGTCGTGACAATGCTTATTTTAATGTGGAAAGTAAAATAACATCGGCTGATGAGTTTTTTAAAAAAATACGCTTTTGTGGCTATTACCGAGTCAAATAATCTTTTTATCGCAACATTATTTTTGATTAAAATCGCTTGAAACTTTGCGGACACATACGTTTTGAATCAGATTAAATCCTTCGGTTTTGAGAATAAAAGAATTTGCAAGTTTTCCTGCGTAAGTTTTTGAGAAGATTTCTAGAAATCTTTAAGTCCCAAAGGATTTTGGATCCAAATATCCAACATCCAGCTGCAGAAGAGTGTAATAAGCTTTTTCGCAATGTTTCAATCAAAATAACGTTAATTTTAATTAACGTTAGTTTAATTTTAACGTTGATTTTAATCAAAAATAATGTTGCGATAAAAAATTTATTTATTTGACCCGGTAGTACCCACAAAATCGTATTTTTTGAAAAACTCATCAGCCGATGTTATTTTACTTTTCACATTAAAATAAGCATTGTCACGATGATCAGAAGCATCAATTATCTATGAATCATGTATTTTTGATATTACCAAACTACGAGAAAGGTGTTCCCAAGTTATTTAAAAAATAATCAGGAGCGCTGCTTTTTGGAAACGGTAGTAGTTTGAATGATTTAAAGGTAAAGACACATTATTCTGATGTTTGTTCTGTTGTCTAGGTAGTCGACATTGCTTCACTTATAATTTATAGATAAAGTACATAGCATCGTGTGTTACAGATATATACAGCTGTCTTGATAGAATTTCGACCCTTGTATGGAACCAAACTGCCTGAAGGACCTTTATACCATCTTTTTGGAAATAAAAAATGAAAGCATCTCGAAAAAATATTTATTCATTTATGATAAGAACTAATCATGTGTTTGGTTTTAGATATCAAGCATTGAGCTCTCACGAAAATGATCGTCATCGTTTAATTATGTGTCATTGTCATTTTTTATACGATACCATTTATTATCGATTATTTAAAAATGAGCAACAACATCGAAAACGTTCATTCAAACGTAACAATAGTAGTAAACGAATCAAATCAACTTCAATTGTGCTTGTCAAAGACGATGATTATGAATGTCCGTATGTGAAAAAGTTTTACGTTGGAAATGATGAAAAAACTGAAATACATTGTCCAATGGGGGATAAGTGTATCGATGTTAAAAGTCATGAAATACTTAGAAACGTTAACGTAAACAACAGGTATGTAGATTGTGTATTTCTTATGAACTTATTATCTAATTCTCAACTTTGTAGAATACATAGCCGATGATAGCAGAGTTTGCATATTTTCATTCTAAAACAGAATCATAAATGACGTGTTGAACTCATATAACTGACTATAACTATTTTAGTTCACCGTACAAATCAACGTCTCAATCAAAGACAAAATATATTGTACTATGCGGCAATGATAATGACGTGTTTGAATGTCTGAAAATTTTTCAAGTAAGCGTTTAAATTATGTATCTAAGTTTGTCTAATATTTATTTCACCAGAAGAAAAAATCAAAACTCGAATTTCAAACTGGTCAGATTAAATAATAATAGAGTCATTGGCTAATACTTTTGAAAAAAAGCAAAGAAAAAATCGATAGAACATTTTATGATTAACACTATTGTTCATCGAACAACATCAATCAATTGCTTCATAACTCAATTTATTGAAACATGTGCCAAAAATATTTGTTTATCTTCTAGACGGAGTACCCAAACAATGAAATAGGACAATATATAGTGCGTTTATTAACACTGGATGACATTAAAACAAAGAAAATACAAAATCTTAGTGGTAATTAAAACTAATACACAAAAAAAAGATCAGCATCATTTACATATTTTTTTTAGGGTGTATATTTGTATCTCCAAATGGACGGCAAATGTTATCAGAATGGATGAAAAATAAAGTGACCAGTGTCAATGAAAGATCCATATTTCATGGTAAATATAAACGATCCATATTTTTCGTAAAATCTCCACTATTTTTTTGTATTCTAGATATTTTATTTGTGAATTTATTCTCAAAATTGGAGGATAATACGACTTTACCTACGTCTCACTCTTTGCATACAAACCACGACGTATTTTCGAGGTATTTTGGTTCTCTAACTGTAAAATCTTGTCTTATTGTGTGTGTCTTTTTTTTAGTTTTTCAACACAACAATCCTATTCAAACATTCCAAATGACAGTGAATATTTTTTAGTAGCTTCCTCTTCGCATCCTATTCCAACATTTGATCAGTTAAAAACCTGTATTAAAACATTATTAACATATCAAAAGTCGACAACATCCAAGTTATATAATCATACAGTAAACAAAGAGAATAAAGTTGATTTAAAGTTAGTGAATCATGTATATATATATATATATATGCCATTTTATAATTTTTGCTTATCTGTTATTTTGTTAGAATTTTATTTTGTTTAACATGTGGTGATAATGATGCACAAAATATTTCGATTCTTGTGGAGCAAATTATGGAACAATTTAAAATCAGTAGATGTTTAAAAGTTTATTCCAATTCATTTGTAATTGAAATATTCCTGGGAAAAATTAGACGAAAAGTATGTTTTTTACTTTAAGAAATATTATCTATTGTTTGCTCTTTTTCGCTTTAGATTGAATTTGTTTTCAATTCTTTTCATAGTGTATTTAGTTCAAAACTAAATAAATTTGACGGATTTATTCTTTTATATAACAGTAACAGATGTGCAGCATTTAATACGATCAGGTAACAAAAACATTATTATTTGAATAATTGTAGTTATGTATACTTGTGTTAACTTTTAGATATGTGCTCAACTATATAAGTAACAAATTTTACAATAAATTAGATGACGTCTCGATAAATAGTGAACATCCATCAATACCTCAGCCACCCATATTTTTATTATGTTGTCTCGACGATAAAGCAAAATCCAATATGACGTTGATAAATCATAAAATGACAAGTATACACCAAACAGAACAACAAAAAAATTTATATCAAAATGGTATTTCTAATAAGTACAACAATGATGATGATGGTGAAAATGTGCGAAAAAAGTTGATAAAATTCCACGTTAAAACTATAAATGATTTTGTTCAAAGTAAGTATATAGAATAATGAATTTTAATTTATAAGGCTTAAATAATCATATTCTTTTCATATTAGATCATTTATTGTCCTTTCTTTACGATTGTTGGCTTTCAAGGCATACTGATGAAAATGATAGTGGTAGCGGTGATCGATTATTCGCTGGTGTCACATCTTATTTTGCGTAAGTGATGCGTTAGTCTTAGGCAGTGGCTCCACAATGAATGTTTGGATTAGAAACCGAAACGAGCTGAAGTCTAATTCAGGTACACTGTCTCACCTAGTTTAAAGGTGATATAAGAACTGAGTTTTAGCGGATCATTCGTAAAAAGTTGTTGATCCATTTATGTTTATGCGACTTGTTTGACTTTAAATGGGGCAAAAGTGTACAGACAAAAATTGGAATGTGGGAGCACGTCAAGAATTGAAAAACATGTTGAAAATATGAATTACCGGAGGAAAGGCTAAAATTGAAATATAAACTTACGAAATTTCAGATCAGTAAATCGAATAGGACTTTATGTGCAGAAAATTTGACGGACTCTCCAATTAGCGAGAAAAACTGTTTGTTTTCGATTCATGCTTACTAATTTTACTTGATGAGACAATATCCAGACATCAATGCTCATTTGAGGATTGAAACAACAGGAATTGGAGAAATTATCGATAGTAGCACCATCGGCTTCAAAATATGGTGGCCGTGGAATAACTTTTGAATGGAAAGAGATAGAGAACTTCGGTTTTCAGACAGTTTAGGACATGATTCTATGAAAAAACCGAATTTTCGCGAAAGGTCTGTCATAGTGCACCTTTTGAATAAAAAGTTATGATCAAACAACCTTAGATAAAGACTGTCTATTTTTTGGGACGTGAACAAATAATTATAATAATTTTTATCGGTTCAGCGTGGTGGATAATCTAATGTTTCAGGTGTTTTGGAAGTTCCCTAATATAAAGTTTAGCCGATGGGCAGGTTCTCGGAAAAATCTTCTAGCGTCTAATTCGTGATAGATGGAACCTTGGGGCTTATGTAGTTTTGTAGAGCGAAGTTTGGTGGTTCGAACTACTTTCTTAGAAATTAAAATTCATCTTGTTTTCGGGGTACGGGAATCTTCTAGATTTTCCTTCAAAAGGTGCACCACAATAGATCTTTCGTGAAAATCGAATTTTTTTCATGGAATCATGTCCTAAACTGTCTTAAAACCGAAGCTCTCTAGCTCTTTCCGTTCAAAATTATTTAAAGAACATCCACGACCATATTTTGAAGTCGATTGTAGTATGTAGTTAAGAATAGTCGGATATTATCTGACCACTCAGGATCACGTTTCGAAATGTCTTCTAAATATCGTACGGTTAACTCAATACTTGAAAAGTGCCCAACTTGGTGAGCATGAATCGAAAATAAATTTATATAACTTTTTACCCTGAAAGTTTTTGGAGCTTTTAGTAGATACTATAATATTAATTTTAGACAACAATCTTCATTGTACGTACCTTCGACATCAAATTTAATGACATGCAGTTTGGAAAGAAATTTGAATAATCGAATTCAAAAATATGATCCTCGCCTTTTCCCATCGGTAACATCAACAGTGACAAAGTCAAATGAGCATTCGCCATCTCATGCCATAATATTAACACCAACAAACGTGGATACTGATGATACGCGTATGTTGTTCTTTGCTTTCTTCTCTGTCACTTCATCAGCTTTCCATTTTCAGTTTTCTGTTATCGTTCTTATCCTCATTTATCATCAACATCTCCTGATGATATAAGTTCAATAATGAAAGATTCGTCCAATTTTACCATTGTACCTACGACTCCTATTGAGAATGCTTTTTCTTCACCATTGGCATCTTCGACAACATCAGTGCATACACCACAATGTGTTAAAAAATCGAATAGCACAAGGTTTCCTCATTTACTTGAACATCCAAGTAAGAAAGTTTTTTGTATCTTGTTTGCATGAATTTGTTTATTAACACGTTTTGTGTAGAAAATCTTTTGAAAAAGTAGATTAAATCTATTCTACTTATTTCACAAGAATAAGTTCTTAGGGATGCATGCTAACTATGTAGACCAAACTGATATATACTTAATCCAGATATTCGGTTACGAGTAAATACTTCCAATGTTTTCCTTGGGAGACATTACACAAGTACTTGCACGTTACTTGTCTAAGTACTTGACGAGTGAAGCAAATACTAAATTTACACAAAATACCGATTTTATTATGAAAACAAAGTCCTTGCTCAAGTACTTAGACGTACAGTCACTAGGACAGTCATACTAACAATAATAAAAAATTGCTTTGAGTTTCAAAAATTAAAACTGAGTTTTCCTGCTTTTACGTCTCGTCTTACATATATTATCGTATATATTCTTTTTTATAGTTTTTTCTTTGAAATTCAGTGGTAATGTAGCATGTAACGTTCGTATGTGTGTAAATATTGTCTACTAAATGGTGTAACGCTTTTAATTCCTTCTTTGGATATTTAATTTGCTTATTTTGCGCATATCTAAGCATTGAAGAAAACAGTTTTTCATGAAAATGGATCTATGCTAGCCATGCACCCATATTTACTAGATGCAATTTCGTATTTTTTTTCACAAAGAACTTTTTGTACGCAAAACATTCTTATAAAATTTTTTAGCTGCTGGGTTTTGCAGACTAAACATTTCTTTACAAAATGACGTCTGACAATACTTTTCGTCCTGATTTAGTATTTAGATAAAAAATGTTTACTAAACGTCCCGCAAAACCGATGCTGATACCGATACCGGTGCATGCCTAATCTATACATCGATCATCAATAGGTTTGGTGTCGAAAACTTTTATAGATACAATAAGACTGATTCGCATATCATTCCATGTCTCAGGCTTAGTTTTTTGCGGTTCTAGCCGATTTTATTTTGGTCATGTGGAAGATAATAAATTTATGTCATGCTTCTGCCCGTTAGCTGTTTTTTTTCAATGACTCACTTCACAGTATCAGCTGTCTAGTTTTGATTACCGCTCTATGAAAAAGTCTCGTAGTCACCGTCACTTTATCTCTTTATTAAAGTAACCACGCGAGAAGTATAGATGATAGTGGAAGAAGCGACATTAGACTTTGTTTTTCATATATATACCACCACTCTCATAGCTTATCGGATACCTAAGCTTCTTACACGCTTGGGTTCTGTTGAACGATATTTATTTATTCTCAATGTTGTTTGTATGTTGTTGCTTCTGTTTTTTCAAATAAAATGATAACTGATAGAAATCTTACAAGATGAATAAGTGAGATTGTTTCATTCCTTTTTGGAGTTTAACGTACGTTATTACTCTAAACTGTGTATGACTGATGAGAAAAGTTCATTTATATTTGAATGATTTCACCACCTTAACTCAGACGTACTTTCTTTCCAAGTTTTTTCGCATGTTCGTTATTCACAACACCAATGAGCGTATGAATGGATGGGATGGGAGTCTTTTTTGAATGTCTAAATCCGAAAAAATTTCATGACGTTAGGATTGCGAGGGAATACATGCTCTCTTACAGAAAGCTTTTTCTATCCTTGCGATACTGGACGAAACTTTGTAGATTAAAGAAGATGATATTGAAGATCAAAATTTTGAATCGCTTAAGAATTCTCTGCTCGTATCTGTGTTGCATAAACAAGAATATACTTGTTCAACTCAGCTTAAGTGAATTATTTCGGGACCTGTCGCATATTATCAGTTACATTTGGCTCAAAACGTCGGTTGGTTACTAAACGCGTATAACTAACGATGCTAAGTGGTTCTTATTAAGATATCAGCTCAAATAAATTTGAACTTTTTTGTAGTTCTATGTGCAACGAGAAGAATGCCTAGTTATAGGGACTGACTGTTTCTAAATAAATTTAGTGGTTGTTTTCGGGTTTTTAAAAAAAGGCTTATCTCTTCTTGGTACACACTTTGGTTTGCGTTATCTGCAAAAACACAAAGTATAATGTTTGTCGTCAATAATAAAAATGTTAATTAAAAAGAAGAAAACACCGCTTAGAGTACCTTCGCACAGCTCCGCTCACTTTAAACACGACTGACATAGCCGGCGAAACGAAGTCAATCTAGGGTAAGCTCATAAAATTTTCTAAATGGTGCTGGGAGGGTGAAAAGGGAGAGGGGGGAATGATGTAGCATTTTTACACAAAAAAATGTTGGAAGAAATCAAAACCAGCATTACATCTTAAGGCCTTTTCGACAAAAAAACACGATCCTTAGCATTTGTGCTTATAAAGAAGATTTTTATAAAATACGAAACCAACTTTACTTTACGACGTAGTATGTTGTTTACCAATAATAAAAAGAAGAAACCAACGGAATATTGCTTGAAATATTTGCCTGCTTGCGCAATAACGAATGTGGGTGTCAAAACCGGTAGCTGTTCTGTAGAAGGCGGCGCAAGTTTGTGAATGGATAACTAACTACTCAGATTTACTACACTTTTTTGCTTCATATACGCTGTTGAATTACCCTAAAAAATTACGGCGGCTTAGGAAACGGACTTTCCGAGTCTCAAATTTTAGCGACTTAGACTTTTTCTATACGAATGTTCTGGAATTGCTATAAGTATTGGAGCAATCTCTTTTGACTAACAGGGTAGAACTTGTTCAGTTGCTTATTTCCAACCATCACGGTCTTATATATTTTTGTTTTTAAATATTTTTAAATTGTTTTAATAAAATACGAAATTAAAGTATCTTCCTCCTTTTAATCAAATACTATAAAAGTCAACAGTTTTCACATTTGACCAGAAACGTTTTTATCCGAGTAACATCTCACAAGTAAAGAGCCCAGTAATGTAAAATGTTTATCCTTGTTTTACTTCTAGAAATGACATGTGACTATGCATTTTAAGCAATCCTTCGTACTGAACACGAATCACAGTTTAGTTTGCCTTTAACTATCCATCTAGATAGCTTTGGTCTCGTGTAATTCTTTCGAAAACTTCCTACAGAAAAAGGTTAGAGAAAAAGCCTAAGTCGCTAAAATTCACAGATTATGATAGAAGAAAAACGTTCGAAATTGCTTTTTCAAGAGAGCACAGGAGCCTCAGAATACTTTTAATAGTAGTATCGAATGCGTATAGCAAACTGTTCCCGACTTTCAGTCGTGTATAAAGCGAACGAACCTGTGCAAAAGTACTCCTTACTCTTCCTCAGTTTTTTTCCTCACTTCTTTTCTATTTGGACATTTGATGGAATATTTTTACGGTATAGATGGGTACGGATTTCAAATGTTTTCATTGTACTGTTTCTGTTGGTGAGAAATTGTTATCTTTCTATTTGTCTAGGAGAATTTTCTTTTAATCAGACACCTCACTAACTCTTCTAAACGGCTTCTCTCAACATTACGTGTTATCCTAACCTAATATGAATTTCTTTCTCTCATAGAGGGCACAAATTATCTGCCTACGAGTGACATAATATTAAAGAAAGTAGGTGTTATTTGCACAGGTTATTTTGGAGAAAAATCGCTAAGCTTTATATCTATAATTATTTAGAATGAAAATTCTAAACAACAAATGAAATTAATCTCAAATAATAGAAATATGAATCAACGTAGTGCAACTGAAGTGAAAGTTCCACTAGCTACACCAGAAATAATTGAATTCAATGATAACCATATGTTGGAATTAAATATTGAATCGATAACAACAAAAACTACAACTGATGAAGCAATGACAACATCTCTTACTGATTCATCAATGGTTCAATTAACATACGGTAATAATAGTTATTTTTGAAACACATATTTTCAACAACGATCTATTAATTTTAATTTTTCTAGCAAATTATTCTATTTATCATTATTGTGATAATTCCGCAAATATTTTTTGTCAGATACGTTTTAGGGTTACGGTAAACAGCTGTGTGTTCATTATTCACCCTTAGAAGTTGTTTTTATGACGTGGCTAACTGTTAGTATTCTGAGAAATACATAGTTATCCTTCGTTTATTGATGACGACAGCAGGTGATGCCAGTTTCTTGTTAGTATAAGAAATTAGGAGAAGCAGAAATTGAGTAGAGCCAAGAGAAACTGGGAGGAAAGCGATGAGGTTATAAATGAACTCGTTTGCCTCTAATTAATAGGTTTAGCAAAGTTCAAGTAGATTTAAAAAAGAATCAATGGATGTCTAGTCTTATGGACTCTTGTCTTCACAACCATACCCTACGAGAAAGTAATCCATGACTTTTCAACTGTAATGCCAAAAAAAACTGTCAACTATTTCCGTATTTTCAAATTCTTTGAACAGAATAAAGAACATAACTTAAGTGGTAGTGACAGCACTTGTAAAATAAATGTATTGATATTTCGTAACTAATTAATTTAATTTAATAAATTCACAGTTATTATAAAAACTACACTTTTAGAATCGACAAATTAATCACTGGTAGAGAAAAACTTGTATACGGTGTTTATCTCTGTGTATGGAATGAAAATTTCTTTATAGATATACAAGTTATTCTAGTGAGCATGAATTTGTCTATTCGAAGGCTCTGTTTCTTATAATAAACTTGAATTTCAAATGAAATTAATTAACTACAAAAATAAGAAAGAACGTCTTTCTTTTCGACTAAAATGTTGAAATAAATGCATGTTTTTTTTTTATGGTTAAAAACAACATTTGAATCACACCGATAATTTGTTACCTCAATTTTCCTTTTTTTTGTGTTGTTTTCAAGTTGAAAGCATGCTACATATATTTGTTGTATACTTTCTCATATATTTATTAACGTGAAAATTTTCTCTTATTTTTAGCAAATACTGATTCATCAATTGATAATAGTTCAAGTGACGAACGAGTAAAAGCAGTTGCGCTTACATTGTCATCGTCACCTCAACAGTCTACAACAAATTTACAACGCAAATTATCCGATCGAAAATCAAAACGTATTCGAAATACTAAAAAATCGGATAATGGTCTTGGTTCAAGTACCGAGATGTATAAAAAAAGTAAATATTTTTTTAGTTTTCGTCTTACTTCACTTAACATTTATTTGTTTGTTTTCAGCTGGCTCAGATGATGATATTATTGATAATCAAAAACAAAAGAAAAAACGGCGTCCAAGTTTTAAACGTCGAAAGAAAATGAATTATGATACAACACAAACAGATTCTGGAATTGACTCTCGTATGTCTACATTTAGTATAGAATACTTTTTATTTTCTGTCATTTGTACATCATTTTAGATTCGAAAGATGCTACTATTTTAATGAAAACAGAAATAACTGTTGTATCAAATGAAGAAGATAGCAGTGTAGGAGATTATACAAAAGATAGTAAAGTAAGTAGAATTGATTGATACTGTTTACTCTACATGTAGATGAATTGTATTTTTATTAAAGAATACGTCAATAGAAGAACTTGAAGAAAGACCAACGGCTAATTGGATTAGACGACAACTTCAACATTTTTCAAGAAAAGATGTAAATAGTTTAATATCTTCTATATGTTTTAGTTGATCATGAACAATTTTTTTTCTCCACTAATTATCTTATGTTTGAGTTAGTCATTTAATTGTATCTAGAAATGTATTTTCGTTTTTTGTTTTAGAAAAGTGAATCAAAAAGTCCTTCAAATGCGAGTATTGGTACATCATCATCGACAACAATAACTTTGATTACTCCTCTTGTATATAAATATACAACAACGATTACTTCCACACCGAGTGGACATATGCCATTATCTTCATCAACAATATCGACTGATAATACCAAATATCATTATGCTGAACGTATTCCATTGTCAAAATGTATTTTACAACAAGAAACCGGTGTACCACGTTTCATTCAAAATTGTATATCATTTATTGAAAAATATGGTCTCTCATGCGAAGGATTATATCGTGTATCTGGTTATAGAAATCAAGTCGATTTAGTTATTAAAAGTTTAATTGATGGTGAGAGAAATAAGATCTTATTCAATAAAATTGAATAAAAGAAAAATTATTTTAATTTTATTTTTATTAAGATCCCGACTATGATTTACATGTACTTGAAGTTTCAGCAAGTGCAGTTGCAACAGCTTTCAAAGAAATGATGAGACGATTACATGAACCCATATTATCTTTAGATTTGTTCAATGATTGTAAAAATTTAACTGGTAAATTTACTTTTTTTAAAATTATAAATTAAATAGTTTCATTTTACTTTATTTTGTTTAGGTTCACAATTACAAGAACAAAATTTTCTACCATTAAAAGAAGCATTTAAACATCTTACAGATGTAAATTATATAACAGCAAAAGTCATTTTTAAACATTTAAATTTGTAAGTAAAAACTTACAATAAATATTGTAGTTAAAGAATATTATTTGACTATTCCATATAACTATGAATAATTTATAATGTTAAAAATGATGATTTATCGTTGATTTTAGTGTATCTCAGCATGCTGAATCAACCCATATGGATTCATCAAATCTTTCGCTAATGTGGTGGCCAAATTTGTATCAACCACAATTTACCGATTTACCCATGGCTGGTGAAACATGTCAAAAAATAAAGCCACTTGTTCAAGCCATTATTGAACATTATTCAATTATATTTGATGATACTGTCAATCAACGTTAAAATAACACTTGCTGTTATCTTTTTTTCTAGTCAGGTGCTTTTCTTTCTTTTGTGTGAAATAAATAAGGAGTAAAATAATTCTCTATTTTCTGATGTGTATATTTAGAATCACTTTTGTTGTTTGTGTTTTGCTAATATTTGTGTGTGTATGTGTGATGATATGATGATTAATACTCAAAAATAATTAGGCGTCTATCATTGTTTTGCTTTCTTATTCTCATAATCATTGTTTGGATATCACATTTTTTCTAATCATTTTGTTTTTTACGGTAGAAGAATGGATCTTTTCACTTCTGATATACACTATAGTCGAAAAATACCCTCTATTTCCTCTGTTTTTTATTTGCTTTTTTTTATTTTTGGGTTTTAATATTTGTTTTTTCATTGTATAGAAATGATGTAGAACAGTATTGTTTCTGTTCAATAACAAAAATATTTGTTCATACTCCCTATTTGTACATTCATTTACACGAATATTGGGAAATTCGCATAACAGTATGTGTATCCCATTCTAATAATCATATATGTTTTTATATTCCATTTTTAATCTCTATAAATTTTGGGATCTGTCGTGTTTTTTCTTGTGTACAAAAAGAGAATTATTTCCATGTGTGTGTGTTTTTTTGTGTCTATATCTACGCATAAATGTTCAAAAAATAGATTAAAAATTGTATGCTTTTTTGTAATTGTTTTGTGTGTGTGTGTGTGTGTATCTATGTATGTACAATGCTATCGTGTTCCAATTATTTCCGATGTGTCTTATCGAATAAAAGAAGTAATAACTATAAATACTTATTCCAGGCGATAAAAAATGTCAATAACCCTCATTTTTTTGCCTAGATAACCAGATACTATCCTCCACAGTTGTTCACGGTATTTTATATAGAACTGTGCATTTTTTCTGTCTTCTAGTAGAGATATTTGAGATAAGGCGATTGCCAGTTTTTCGTGTTTCTTTTCCTTTTTGGAAAGAAATGGACGTCTTATTCAATCGTCTGTAATGTAGTTATAAATGCACTTTCTAAAACTTAAAATATACCCTAGAATTGAGGCATCCAATCAAAACAACAGGTTTTTGTTTGAAAAAACTTACACATTGGAGAAATTTTTGATTGTATTCTAACTAAAACTACACTCCATTAATAGTCAACTTTTCCAAGAGGGAAGACGTACCTAATACGAGAGAAAATATCAGATTTCTAAAGCTTGAGCAGCAGAGCATGTACGCACAGTTTTTACATGATACTGAACTTATTTGACAGACTTGTTATGAACGCATGAATAGCACCTACAAAAAAAAGGTAATACAGAGATTTGGAAGAATTTCAAAGTGACTATTACATGTCCATTACAGAGCAGAGTGAGTAGGTACAGTATAATAGTTTACTGCTGCATTACATTCTTTGAATCACGCTACGTAATGTTGTTTGTAAAATTAGAGAGAGTATTATTATGTATTATACTATCTAGTAGCTTATTTCACTCTTTAATCGTTTTGACGAAGCAAATGAATTTGTATTGCAGCGAGGATAAATGTACATTTGAGAGTGAGCAACTAGAAAAGAGTGTTGGTTTTTATCTAATACGAGTAAATTAAACCGTGCAAGGGCAGTATGACTTCTTATTAATTTGCAAAAGTATTGTAGTCGAAAAATTTTTCATCTTAATGACAAATTTTCTAACTTAAATATTGTGACTGAAACTCTAGACGACGAGGTGAAGTCGCTGAATATTATTCGAGAAGCCAAGCATTGCACTGAATCAAGAGGATTTAGATGAGACGTAAAACTATCGTCATACACAATTGATGCACAATTCAACGCACGCGATGTATAAATGTTGCTTCAGTTTAGTTGATTCATCTTTAAACATACGGTGTATAGCACCCAGCCTTTAACCACACCTCATTGCAATTTTGTTTATGAGAATCCCATTTAAGATTTGTCGTGAGTATAACACCTATTACCTTTTTCAGATCTAATCCAAGCTTTTGTTCCGTGAGAGGTTTTCCAGAGATCCGCTAAAAACCGTATGCCTAAACTAAAAACCTTCTGCAATGTTTTCGACTTGATCTGCATTCTATGGTCTCTGTTAATCATTCCCTGAAAGTCTGAGCCTTTTTGGACGAGAAATAAGTGAAATATAAGGCTTTTAATTTTTGACGGTAACAGCCTATCGACTGGTATTATTTGAGATTGGATGCCATAGTGTGGTTTGGGAACGGTAAGTTTTCGGATTTTGTCTCGAATGGTACACATGGTAAACCTGATCGGGTGCCCTGTTTTTTCATAGGTTTACGTACCCCGCTGTCTTCTTTCGAATGGCGAAAACCACAGGTCTCTAGCTATCTCCTATCAAAAGCTGTAAGCATTTTGCCCACCAATGTCGTTTTTTGAAAAAGGTAATAGTAATTTTAAGTCTTTTACTATCACCAGTGGTTTATCGCCGAGCATTAAAGTTACTAGTGATATGCAAAAATCCGATTTGTCAAAAATCAATCAACAACATTTTTTTGTAAAGCTGGGAAGAACAAAATATTCCAATATCAATAAAGCGAAACAACATTTTGCTTATAGACCACTTGTGAGTACTGAGGAAGTCATTCAACAATGTATTATTTCATATAAAAAACAAGGGATGTGCTTGTAAAGAGTAACATACTACACAAAACTCTTTGGTTTTCTCTCTCAGTTCCACAATTCCTCATATTCTATGTCAACATTTCTCATCCGGTCACCACAATAAATATACTATTCGATAGAGAATTTGTCGAGCTGCAAATCTGATATATATAATATAGAGAAAAAAGTGTCCTAAGGCACCTTGACATTAGGAATGTTTCTGCAAAGTCAGAATTCGACATGTAATTCTCAATTTTCTCCATCAAAACTCACTTTTTGTGCGATAAAAATATCATATTCGGAATCAGGATAAAAAACTGAGTCGATCAATGTGTATTTTCATTCTATCCGACTACTTTTAGTTTTTATCGAATTTGCATCAAGAAATGAAAATCGGGTAAAATTTTCGAAATACACATTGATCGACTCACGAGGGAACGTTCCCAAGTGTTCAATCGCTTTTTAATCGAAATCTAGTAGATTATAGGTTATCGATCATGCTGATTCCGAATATGAATATGGGAGTTCCACTTAGCCCTTCGAAGATCCGGTCTTCTGGAAAACCAGTTTTTCAGAAACTCCAAAAAATGAGAAAAACCTTTTATAATCAGACAGGATTGTAGCGCGCAAATTTATGATTAAAATGAG